CACTACTTATTTCAAATCAGTGCTTACTGAGCAAAAAGCACACTAAATTAGTTTACTAAAAAACAAGTTTAAGAAAAATAAAATACTAGGATCTCAGATCAAGACTCGCATAATGACTTTAAAAATTTTTCTCAAACTGAAAACAGAATTAACTTTAACACTTAAAAATTATTTGCCCAACTTGTGCGTCCTTTGTATTTCTTTCTGGCTTTTTTTTTTTTTTTTACTTTCACTGGCTGTAACTACGAGGCATTAGAAATGTCAGGATCCCGCTACCAAAAAAATAACCCTTGAGCTTGGGATCACTTGTGCCAGGAGTTCAAGGCTGCAGTGCGCTATGCATGAGCCTGTGAATAGCCACTGCACTCCAGCCTCGGCAATATAGAAAGACCGCATCTCAAAATAACAAAATAAATTTTAAAATTTTTAAAAAGAACTCTCTTTTTAACCCACTGTTATATTTCCATGGCAAAGAAAAGAAAACTTTACTCATGAGACATGCTACTTCTTAGAATATACATATTTCTTTTTACAATGTACCTACAACATACCTAAATCTGCATGTAAATCCTGGGCTATCTGTAATATCCAGATGTCTTCCATAAATCCTTTTATATTACACTCCCAAGCACAAGGTATGTGAATGGAATTCCTTCCCAGCTAAATTCTAGCATATCTTACCCTCTTCCATCTATCTTTCTTACCGGATTTGTAGCTTTTTAATTAAAATTTTATTTACACAAGTTACACATGACTACATAAACTAAAGCTTAAGACCCACTTCATTTATAATATTCAACCCCAGATGACCACCGTTATAATTTAAGTGGTAAACTTAAAATATTTTATAAGTTTATATGCATAAATGTACATATAGAAAAATAGGGGTTTTTTTTTTAACAACCAGTATCACTGTATGAATCATTCTATAAAAGCCTTCTTGATACAGCAACATATCTGAAAGTTATTGATGGTGATTATAAAGATCTAACTGCTCATTCCTTTTAACTGTTGGATCATAGTCTATTACACAAATATACCATATTTTATTTAGCTATTTCCCTTCTAATGGGCATTTAAAATGTTTCCAGTTTTTCACTGCAGTAACCATCCATTACATGCCTCCATGCATACAAAGCAGTTAACTCCCTAGGGTAGATAAGTACAAGTAGAATTGCTACGTAACAGGATGTATCCATTTTTATTTTCTTTTAAATACTCAATCTCCCTCCAAAGTAACATTATCAACTTCCACCATCAAAATATGAGAATCCCATTTCCCTCCTTTTTTCCCTTACAACTGAGAAGGTACCAGGTTCCCCGGCCTCCATCAATTCTCTTCCCGCCTATCCATCTGGAGCACTGGTCCCAGTGCTTCAGTGGCCCCGCTAATTAAAGAGTTTGAAGAATCCCAAATCCTGGAGCAAACAGGTAGAATTCCTGAATAATTGACCATATCAAGAAAAGATGGGACTGGGAGCGGTGGCTCACGCCTGTAATCCTAGCACCCTCGGAGGCCGAGGTGGGTGGATTGTTTGAGCTCAGGAGTTCGAGACCAGCCTGAGCAAGAGCGAGACCC